ACGTACTAATTACTTACACAATATTTAATTCTATATGATTGTACATATATCTCTGAGTATTGACTCGTATATATTTTATTAGTTTTAGTTGGAAGATATGGAAAAAGTCAAACTATATATGATATATGGTGATGAGAAGAGGGTGTTCATGACAGGCGTACGTAATGGGTAATCAATGGATTAAGTTTTAAGTAAGAATTATTATCTTGGTGCAATATTAACTGATTGCGCCGTACCAACATAAAGTATAACACAAAGAAATCGTATTAATAAAATACAGAAGTAGCGCGGGAATCGAATCGAATTGAATTGAAAGGAGGGAGAGGTGGGTAGGGAGATAAGAGGGGGGGAACATGAGAGCAAAATCTCCACTACCACATGCCACCGGATTCCTGAGATCTCGACACCCCATTTATGGGCGGTGCTCTCTCATTAGCTAGCTTGTTAATTTGCTCTATAATCTGATTTATATGTGGGGATATTAATCACGAAATTCGTAACACCCTGTACTCTCTCGAATGAAAAAACAACTCGTGTAAGTTTTAAGTTTGTCGTACGTGTTCAAAATCATGTGCGTATTTAACAATGTCAAGAACCAGTTGATCCCAAAAACTCGAGCTGTTGGGAGAGGTTCAATCGTAAATCATATACCGTTTTACTAACACACACCCTCTCAAATTCAAGCCACTCATATAGACACCATGTGCTTGACAGAAATGGACGAGGGTCGTCGGCATTCGAACAGAAGACCTCTCGGTCACAGAAGGCTCTGATACCATGTCAAGAACCAGTTGATCCCAATAACTCGAGTTGCTGGGAGAGGTTCAATCGTGAATCATATACCGTTTACTAACAAACAAATGGGGTTGTCGTGATTCGAACACACATGACTTCTCGATTGCATAAGACTATGAACAAGGAGAGCTATAAAAAAAAAATTACATGTGAGAGATTCGAACCATGGTCGTTGGTGAAGAGATCTAGTGCCTTACAAACTAATCTATTTTTGAAATTTTACATATAAACTTATCTACATTTGAAAGTCGAGGGGGGTTACAGCCTCAATTGATCTTAACATGTCTCCATAGCTGGTTCGGACATACTAATAAAATCATCTAATTTGATTTAAAGGTATATATGTCCTTGTTATTGTATCGATGGACATGTCTGGCGCGTTTCTCTAAACTCTTATGTCATTGGGCTTTCAGAATTATCATATCAGTTCCAGCATTTCTGTCCCCAGAATTTGGTGTCTATATCATGTATGTTGGTTGTGGCACTGCCACTGCCACCGGCCATATATCTCTACTTGACTTTTCTATCTTTGACTTGGTCCTATCTCATTTTTCTCTATACTTCGTATTCGTTCGTCGTAAAGAGGCTTATACAATTTTCGACAAATTTGAACCAAAATCAATGCGTGGTTGGAAAAATAGTTCATCATATGAATCTAATATTGAATGAAACAGGATAGATATAATTGACTTTTTGTTGATAGTTTGGATGTTCTAGTGATATTAACCTTATTTATATAAAAAGATCCAACAACTATAATTATATCATGAACCAGTTGCTCCCAATAACTCGAATTGTTGGGAGAAGGTTATGCTGGATCTTATACCATTCTCTAACAAATTAAGTGCCCAAAGCCCAAAAAAAATATTGTGTTACATATTGGTCTTGCATTTCTAGTTGCAAGATGATATGACATGGATATTTGCAGTTGTAAAATTAATTGCAATTATATGATTAATCATAGAATATTTTCAATCTTGCAACAAATGTCGTTGAATATGAAAGCCAAAGTAACTAAAAAATGGAGAATGGCAGGCTCCTGCAGTGAGATTTTCCATTTTTTCCATTTCAGTTCCCTTTTATGTCTTTTGCCATTTAAATACAAGTTTTAATCACATGGAATTGCAAGTCCATTGTGTTAATGAAGGTGCAATGAAATTCTCATATTTATAAAATACGAAATTATAAAAGTTTACAGTTGCATGACCATTGAATTAAAGTAGGACAAATTTGTAATCAAAGAAATAATTAAGGGTAGAAAGGTAATTTACCATCATGGATTTTAATCCATCACCCAAATCCCACCTCAAGAGGTGGAACTTCCAAGTCCGTGGGGTCCACGGATTTGGAACTCCAAAAGTGGTGGGCCCCACAAATTCCATCTCCCTAATTCCCTAAGGCAAACGATGGATTTCGGTTCAAGTCCATGATGGATATATTTCCATGACCAAATCCATCACCAAAACCCTCAAGCAAACGACCCCTAAAGAGACCAATATACAATTGCAATGATGTCAATACTCTCATAATCGTCATTGTCAGTTGGTTCACATCGAAAGGACCTTTTTCGTCTTTAAATATATGTTAACAAACAAGAAACTGAAAATCATTTAGGATTTACCTGTGTTATTATTATTATTTTTTTTTTCAATTTGCTCGGTATATATACAACTTCTAAAATTCACGTTTTTGGCCATATAAGGTCAAATCTATTAGTAATTAACTGTCCATAAATTAGTGGTAATTCTGACAACTAAAACTTAAATATCAAACAAATGCTGAAAACTAACATTTTAATTTGTTAAGAGTCTAATATTAAGTTACAACTGCAGAGGATATACAAATACGGTTGCTTTGTTCTTAATTTATACGATAATTAATTATAGATCGCCCTCTTCTTGAGAAGGTTGATATAATTCAAGGGGCGTTTCCAAAAAAAACCAGTTTCGGTTTGGCTTTTATTTAACAGGAGAATATGCCGACCAAATCTCGAAGCACAACAAAATGCAGTGCATCAGAAGCAACGAGAATGACAGGATGGATACTCAACGGCTTCCGGTTCTAGTTATAATTCGTAGATACATACACATAAACAAAAAGTCAAACTTCTTTGCAAAAAGTCCACGGAGCTAGCATTAACTAATAAATAACAGATGAAAGCAACAGAAAACGATCGAGTAATGCTAAACAAGGTACGCTAATGACCATTCCATTACCTAAACTATAGGAATAAACTGAAACCCTAGCTGCAGGTTTGACTTATACGAAGCATGTCAACAGCCCCTGGCCACCTTATTAAATGAGTGTATCTTCCATACGCACACAACTTAATTATCTCTCAATAATAAGTCAACTCAACCCTATTAAAGAAACCACCATCGAATATGAAGAAACGTTCAAGCCTTGCTCCCTTTCATTTTTTTTTTAAGTAGTGCAAACATTTTTTTAAGTGATATATTATATATGTAATTGGTGTATGTATATGTTGAAGGTGGTTTGAACCATTCAAATGTGAGAGGAACATTGAGAGCTTTGGTGACTAGTAGTGCAACATTTAATGTGTTTTAATGGGTTAAGGTGCGGAATCGAGTAACAGTATCATTCTCACATTATTATTAGGTCAATCTTTTAGTGTTATTGTAGAAAGATAATAAAAAAATTGGTTGAATCGAGAGGTGTTGGAATTGTAAAAATGTGTAAGGCTAGGGTTTTGATTCGAATTTGATTCATGGTTTCTTGCCAAAACTCCCTTTGAAGTTAGGAGTCTCCTTCGATTCCTTTCCACCACCATGATTCAGGACACTCTTGTATGAAAACTATAACTTAGTGCCAAGTTACTTAACCTATATAGGAGGCATATATATAGTGTAGTATATCGTACCCTAGGTAAAATTTAGGGCACCACATACATTTAGCATGAAAACATTGTTTAGGCTTCGATTAATAAATTTTGGGTATAATACTATACCTTAACTCTCTATGAGTGAACCTAGCTAGGTCTTAATTATATGAATCATAGACCTTAATTAAACACTAAGACCTTGTGTATGAGATTTTTGTTTCTAATTATTACCATCGATTTTTGTTTCTAATTAAATTAATTTTAGTGTATGAGAATTATAAACTTAAGACCTAGATTTTAATCTATAAGGGGTTGAGTATAATACCATGTCCCAAACTCCAGTCAATTCAAGGTTTAGGTATCATTTTCCTACTTATGAATATGGCATACCTTTGATTTTACTCAATGTGTGATAGAGTCATGTATATAGTGCCTTCTAGCGGTTACCCCAGAGTAAATCTGGGGTACCACATACTCTTGATAAGAAAATGCTATATAAACCTCGAATTAACTGAATTTTGGGGGTGATGCTACTAAATATACTCTAACCCTTGATGGGTGAACTCTAAGTCTTAATTAATTATCTAAATCATAGACCTCAATTACTAAAATTGAGCATATAGTTTTTTGGATTATATTATGAAGAATCATAATCGCTGATTATTATTTCTAACTAAACTGATCTTAAGTGTATAAAATTTATAGGATTAAGATCTAGATTGTAATCAATAACAGTTGGAGTATAATATCATGCGTCAAACTCTCTTGTTAATTCAATGCATATTCATAACTAGCTAGCCTAATCAATTTTGACATTCCAAAATTAATTTGCTAGCGTCACATCACTCGTAATTGCATCCATTGTTATATAGTATACCATATCCACATTCTCCCAGGAGATAGAGAAAGATAGAGAGAGAGGATGCATAGTAGGAAGCTGGTTTGTGTTGAGAAGAGATGAAAGAAAGAAAGGAAAGGAAATGTGGGGTGTCGGGTCGGGTCGGAGGTGGGCGGGGCCAACCCAATGAAATCCCAAGAGACATGGAAGATCCTCCTCATTGATACTTGTACCACCTGCTTCATCACTCCTCTTTCTTTCTATATCCATCCCCATTATTAATATTTAAACTGATAATTAATATTCCACCACCCCAAAAAACTCACTTAGTTTTTACTTTTTAGTTTATTCTCCTCCCTACAACTCCAACCCACAAAAATAAACAAAGCAAGTTGACCTCATACGTGTGAGCCTGTCCCTACCTTCCCCCCGCCGCCGCTCCCTATATATATACACCTCCCAACATTACCCTTCTCTTCACCACAGCAACAAGAGAGCAAACACAAACAAAGAGAAAAAAAAACCATGAGGAGCAGCTTAGTGAGAGAGGTGAGGCTGAACAACGGCACGAGAATGCCGGTCATCGGCCTCGGCACTTACTCCTACCAAAACGACTCCTACACCACCCAACAGGCCATCCATCTCGCCCTTCAGGTACTACGCATCTTTCTTTCCCCATGCATGAAGCATTTGTTTATACATGTGAACATGATTTGGTACCAACAACAAAATTTGCATGGCGCGCGCCACGCAGATGGGTTACCGCCATTTCGACACGGCCAAGATATACGGATCCGAGCCTGCCGTCGGGGCCGCACTCGCCGACGCGTTCCACCAGGGGAAAGTCGCGAGGGACGACGTCTTCGTCACTTCCAAGCTCTGGGGCAGCGACCACCACGACCCTGTCTCCGCCCTCCGCCGCACTCTCAAGTAATTAATTAAGCATTATTAATTATTGCTTAATTCCGATCACACAATTGCCGATGATCATCGATTATATTCACCAAATCTTGTTTTCTGCGGTGGCCATCTGGGGAATTGATCCCCGGAATCAACCCCTCGAAATCTTTTCATATCTTTTTTCGGGATTGTGTAGGAATTTGAGGATGGAGTATCTGGACCTGTACTTGGTCCACTGGCCAGTGAAGCTCAAACCTTGGGCCTGCAACCCAATGCCCGAAGAGAGCGAGTTCGAGGACTTGGACCTGGAGTCCACTTGGGCCGGAATGGAGCAGTGCGTCGAATTGGGCCTCTGCCGCAGCATCGGCGTCAGCAACTTCTCCACCGCCAAAATCGAAGCCTTGCTCGATTTTGCCTCCATCCCTCCTGCTGTTAACCAGGTAAGATACCTCCCCCCAAATCAGAAATTATCCCATCAAAAATTAATAAAAAAAAGGTCAATTGACTTCAGAATTTTTTTTTCCTCTCTCAAAAAGTCAAAGCCCTAGAAACTTTACACGTCCCAAGTCAAACCGTCCTAAAATAATAATTAATTTAAATTTAATATTCTTTTGGGTGTACAGGTGGAAATGCACCCGATGTGGAGGCAAAGCAGGCTGAGGGAAGTGTGCGGGGAGCACAAGATCCACGTGAGCGCCTACTCACCGCTGGGCGGGCCTGGAAACGCATGGGGATCCACGGCGGTAGTGGAAAGCCCAATAGTCCAGTCCATAGCCCACAAACACGGCGCCACACCGGCCCAAGTCGCCCTTCAGTGGGGGCTCGCGAAGGGAGTCAGTGTGGTGGTGAAGAGCTTCAACCAGAGGAGGATTAGAGAGAACTTGGAGGCGATCAACCTGGAACTCGACGACGGAGATATCGACGACATCGACGGGCTGCAAGAGTGGAAGATCATGAGAGGAGAGTTCCTTGTCAATGACACAACCAGCCCCTACAAGTCGCTCGAAGAGCTGTGGGATTACGAGATTTGATGGTGTTACAGAACAAGTGGGGCACCATTACTGATCTGTTTGTATTCGAGTCGACTCAAGTACGGTCTAGTTCGCGACTGAAAAGTCGCAATCCTTGGCCACAATTTGTACACAAAACTACATATATATAGTATTTGTTACTCCTCACTTGATCATAGTGAAATCGGAACATATAGTGATCCCTTCTTCCCGCCCAAAAAAAAAAATGTATCTTTGTTTTGCCTGCAGAGGCTGCACAAGGCATTATACCACCACGTTTCGCCGCTTTTCACCCAACTGACAGCCCTTCTTGCACTTCAGGCTGTTGCTAAATGGGTCCTTTCAGAGGGTAATGTTCTTCAATTATGTTTCCTGTAACTTCCGGAGCAAGGTTTAGTTGCTTCGGAAGCCACCTGCAGCAAGACATTCTTCTTCAACACTCTTCATCGACTGCAAAAAGGTTTTGTGAGAAGTGCCTTTAAAGCGATATAAGTTCGAAATCCTGATTGCTTAAACGAGCAGAACGAGGGGGGGGAAATAGCACGAAGAGCGAAATGCAGAAGCTAATGCACTAATCATGAGACCACAAAGCTACAAGTTCATCTCAGTTGGAGAAAGTACAGTATTTTTTAAGGGACGCAAGAGTTCAATGGACAAGAGAAACGACACGACTAAGCCATTCATACAGGCTGCCAAGCAGAGATGCATTGTTGAAAGGTTTCTCTCGAAAGTCAAACCAATCGACGAGGTCCAACTTCATACCTGTTACTGCCAAGCTGCTCTGCATGTATTTCAATTTTCAGCTGCTTTGCCTGTCATTTTCACTGGAAACTGGTGAAATCCCTTGCTCGATACACTGGAAGGTGGAATCAATTAGCAAACGGATGAGTTAGTCACTAAGAGAAAAGCATATCTATTCATTGAGAATATGAGAGTAATAGCCAATAGGTATGTCCAAAGCGTTGCTGAAAATGCAAAACATGCTATGAAGCAGATACATCAGATTTTGCAACGGTAAAGTTACCTGAAGAAGATAACCGTGGAGCCAATCCAGTGTTTGAGGAAAGGTTGTGGCAGATATATTAGCAACGGTCAAACCCTGTTTAGAGAAGAAACGAGGAAAATTGTTAAAACGCTACCAACGGCTTCAACTGGAGATGCATAACCGTGACAATCAACAAACCTGTGAAGTGAAAGAGCACAGATAGTCCTGAAGAGTTTTCAAATTGGCAATTAGCCTGTCTTTATCCTGAAATATGTCAATAGTATGAGCACAATAGAGGCACAATCACTGTCAAACCATTAGCATAACACAGACTTGCATAGATCACTGAAATAGCCACGACAAAGATAAACAAGAACCAAAGGGAAACCGAAATCTAATTTTATTGACACTATTGGTTCAAACATGATGACGTATATAACCAAGAGACCTTTTCTCTTTTCTTTTTTTTTCTGAGCTCCTCCCTCATGAGTGAAAGGGCATATTTCAGGTAAAAGTCATTTACATGTGAATTCACTCTTGTGATTCCTTGGTCAGGGTTCAATATTGAGAAACAAGAATCTTTAATACCTTAACTTGGTATCTATCACTGGGTATACGAGCAGAGATCCACTCCTCCAGTAATGCCTGCCCGAGACGGGGGAGAGCTTCAGCAAAGAGATAGTAAAGTACCCCAAAAAAAAGCAAAAGCAAATTGCAAAGGTTCAGAAGAAAGGTAAAAACCTTATGGTCAAACTCAGCCATCTTCAGAACTATGGGTATAATTATCGGATCTCCACCAGATTTTGCTCTCTTAATAGAAAGGCTTTTCTCTTCTCCTGCAACTTTAGTAGAGCCAACTGTGGGGAAAAACATTTAGGTGAAATGGCAAAGTGCCAAAGTCACAGTAGAGATTAGTTCCAGACGTAAGTTTTGAATTTATCTGCAAGAAGACATTATTCTTCGGGGGATAATTAGAATAACCTTCATTTTCATGAATACTTTTTGAACCTTGAGCATTTTGCCTGTAGTCCAAGTGTTTGTCACCAGATTTTTCTTCTTCTGCATTTTCGTTCTCAGGAGAGCCATTTATACTGTGGGCATGAATGTCACTAACAGAAGGACCACTGTCTTCCGTTTTGCCCAAGGGATCAACTCCTAACGTTGATTTTTCCACAGAGAATGGAGTTGTCACTCCAGTTTTGTCAGGTGCAGAAGCTGGTGTCTTGTTGTCTTCATCCATCAAATAAATACTTGGGTCAAGATGTATCCCCTGTTATTATTTGAGTCAAATGTGTGCACATAGGATGGTAGCAAAAGACATCAGGAAAATCCACGGGTGTTGAAAAGAGCTATGCAGCAAAACCATTGACCAACTATTCAACAAGTAGAGATACCTCAATTATGATTGGCTTTCCATCTTTCATTGCTTTCTTTAAGTCACCAGCCAAACCTAGTAAACGAAGAGTTTCAGAATCGTATATCAGGAAAATCAAAGAGAACTATTAAAATTTCAGGACGAACTTCCAGGTCCCGGAGATTCACAACTAGAAGTTCTAGGTCCCGGAGATTCACAACTAGAAGTTCTAATAATGGGGGGAAAAGGAGGCAAAGAAACAAGAAACTTTGACATTTTAGTTTCACAAAGCAGAGAAGTAAGATATACTACCTTTCCGAACTATTCTGCATTCTCTACTAAACTCAGTAATAAACTCCTCAGGGGAGCTGAAATCCCGAGCCCAAACAGGAGTAGATGATAATGGCGCACTGAAGCATAGAAAATAGGGCATGTCAACTAAAGAACGAACTACAGGAAGTATGACAAAATTCAAAATTGTAAGCATGTGACTTGGGAGTAAAGTAAAAGAAACTAATAACTTCCAGAGAGAATGAACAATATAGTAAGAGTAACGGTCACTCATCAATCATCCTAAAGGGCTAACTCATACAAACTTGAGGTCATAATGGAATGTCTCAAGTTCAAAGATCTTGAATGGGAGGAGGTGATATTGAAACGAATAAAGAATCCATTGTTAAATAGATAATCTTTCCTCATAGCTCTGTGTGATAAAACAGATGTGATGGTAAATGATAAGGCAATTCTAAAACATAGGCATGGCGTACTCAGTTGATGTCCGCAGCAGTTCATAAACCATCTCTGTCTGTAATTAAAAAAAAAACAGAGATGAGTCTCATATATAATAAAGTTTAGCAGCAAAGACATAAGAAAAGAGCTAACTGCAAGGTTGGAACCTGCAAGACATTGGGCAAATTCAGCCTTTGAGCAAGTTGGGTAGCTATGGTAGACTTTCCAACACAAGCAGTTCCACAAACAAGAATCACCAGTGGCACCCTTTGATGGTGGAATCTAAAAGGTAACAAATAGAACTAACCCGCTTACGTTCGCATAAATGCCATCCTTACACTAGTCGATAACAATTAACCACTTAAAGTAATCGTCTTGGGCAAAAATTAAAAAAATAAAATACAGACTCTACATCAAAAAGACCACTCACCCTCAATCAAAAAAAAAAAAAAAGACCACTCACCTTGTCATCATCTTGTATCGATTAATGTAGTCTTCCCCGTATCCTCGTCTCTCCATAAGCTACAAATCGGAGAAGGTTATCCAAATTCAGAGGATTCTATGGTGCTCCAGTTCTTGGCATTTACTCCATTATTGGCAAAGACAAAAGGTAGTATAGGACACTGATAAGTCAATGAGATGGCATAAATACCTTAAATAGGTTAGCCTCCAAATCTGACTGAGAACTGCAAAAGCAACACCAAAGCATTATCCCAGAAGTCAGGGAGTACTTGGGGAATCAGAACGCACAGAAATAAGCAAGGTCAGGAAATCCATACACGTCAAGGAGACTGTTATCAACCAGCAACTTCTTGAGTTCAAGAGCAATCTTAACTGCTACATGATTCGGTATCTGAAAGCAGAAACCACTGTATTTTACAACCCACAACTCAGGTTAAGACTATGCCTTCCTTCACATGCTCATGATCCAATGATTCGGTAAAAAAATTCATACTGAACATAGCTCAAAAAGGTGACCGAAGAAGGCAACAGTGCTGTGCCTATCAATCGCCCATGAGAAGGAAAAGAGAAGGAAGACCAGAACAGTTCAGTTACAATGTTGTGACCTTTGTAACAGTTAACATTCGGCTGAGCAAGAATCTGGAAAGGACGTAATAATGATCCGCGTTATCTCCCAACCAAACCTTCACCTGAAAAAAGAATCAAAAACCAACTTCCACAATCAAGGCGCCGCCTTAGGGGAAGAAACACGAAGAGAAACTGAAAGTAACGGCGGGAAGTGAGGGAACCTTGACAAAATCGTATTTGGAGGCAGCATTGCGAGAGGAGGATTTGAATTGATGCTGATCGGAATCGTCTTCGCCACCGTAGCGGTGACTGCTAGGGCTTGAAGGCTCAATCATCACTTCCTTCCCTTTACCCATCTTCCACACACACAATTCTTCCTTTCTCCGCTGCACCGTTTCTCCGGCGAAAGCATTCACGAATCACGATCACCGAGCTTGCTTACTTCCACTCCGAATCCGAGAAATTCGATCTTTTTTCTCCACTGCTGCTGCTCTCAGATGCATGTGCTCTTTGCCTTTATATTTTCGCCTCCGCCTTAGTAGCCTACTTATTTTTGGAATGGGTGGTGGTGGTAAATTCAGCGCGGGTTATATATCGAAAATTACACTGAAAATGACACCCCATTTCGACCCCAATGATAAAGTTACCACCTTTACGAGTTTCGAGCCAGATGTCTCTTTGTAATTAGGCAAAATACACGTCCATAGCCATAACTATTCGTTTTGTGACAATAATAGCCAAATTTTGAAAAATACACAAATATAGCCACATTTTTGAAACTCTATTGTCAAATTTAGCCATTTCCGTTACAAACTTTGACGGCGTCAAAAATGTCGTCAATAATGTGTACATGGCATTGACGTGGACTCCACCTGGACAATATGTCATAGCCAAATAGACTCGTTTTCCCGTCATTGCTGATGTGGATTCCACCATTCCGCCACTCTTGAGGGAAACAAAATTTATTGCATGATTTATTAGTTCCCCTAATTACCCATATTGTGTTAACCACACAAAAAAAAAATTACCCATATTCTGTAGCTTACCTCCGTCATCTCCCTGGATCTGAAATCCAGCCACCCCTACTTCTTCTTCTTCTTCTTCTTCTTTTTCCCAACTGAATCTCCCAAAACCCTCCACAACAGCGCCCTTCTTCTTCTTGATTTGATAAATCCGTTTCGTTTCTCACCATCGAAGCCGTCATCCGTCGAGGAAGTGATAAGCCAAATCACACCCATACCCTAAACCTAGAATCGACATGGCCACCAAATCATAAACCCAAATCGCTATTCCCCAGTAGTCGATTGTCGCCATCGTTCTACCTCGTCCGTCCAATGAAGAAGCATCCACGGGGAGGTCGTTAGCGTAGAAGAAAGCGAGAATGGAGATTGACGAGGGCACGAGGTAATCCATCCCGGAACTGGTCTCGAGTAATAAATCTCGGCTGAAGGAGGGACGATGGTCGAGCAGTGGTCGGATTCCAAAGCGGTCTCTACTTTGTGTTTGCGGTCAGTGAATGGGGTCTCGGGAGAGGCGGGGTGGGAGGAAAACTTCCTCTGCTACATCGGCGGTGAGATTCGAATGGTCTCCGTCTACAAATCGACGACCTTCTTCAGCTCCAGACCACCACCACTCTTATCCTTCTTCTCCGACTTGTTAATCGAAGCTCGAGCGGTGCGGCAAGAGTATTGGGCAGCGGCGGCGTCGCTGCAGTGAAGATTTGTGTGTGATCGTTCATAGAGGCAAGAAAGGAACAGGGAGGGTGAGAAAGAGAGATGTAAGGGGTGGGGTGAGAGGTCTGGGAGACGGCGAGACGGCGATTGTGGCAATTGATTTCATGAGTAGGTTGGTTTAGAGGCGGAGCTGGTGGCGCCACCCCCGGCCACGCCGGAGTAGCGGTACATTCTCAAAAGGAATGAGTCGGAGGAGATGAGAAAGAGTAAAGTGAGAGCGAATGATTTTTATCCCCTTTTTAATTTTCACTTTTTTAGTTTTTTTCATATAATTAATTATTATAATGAGAAACTATTTCCACCTGGTTATAGTCTTCTATGAAAATTGCCACGTAAGTACAAAAAAGTTAGTCCAGTAAGCATTTATTACTATTCCGTTAAAGTTATAGACGGAATGGCTATATCTGTGTATTTTTCAAAATCTGGCTATTATTGTTACAAAGTGCAAATTTGTGGCTATGCAAGTGTATTAAGCCTTGTAATTATCTTATATATAAAAGCTAAGTACACTTTTTTGCCAAAGTAACTATTTCAATTTTTGTCTTTTAGTGAGAATGAAAGAACTTGTCATCTTACCTAGGGATGGCAATTTTGACCTGACCCGTTTTACCCGACCTGTTTGACCTGTTTTGGGGCGGGGCGGGCATGGGTAGTCTCATCGACCCGACCTGCCCTGACCCGCCCCATTCTCGACCCGTTCTTGTCTAAATTACATGAAATCTAAGTCAAATTACTTTGAATTTTACCTTTATCGCATCATATTTTAGCTATAATAAAGTTGTAAATTAGTAAAAACCTCAATTTCTTCAATAATTTAACTACAATTGTCATTATATTGTTTATTTTCTTAGTTTTATAATAAAAATAACGAATATTTCTAATGTTTTTCAAATAAATTGCATACCCATTGGGTCGACCTGCCCCGACCCGCGACCCGTGATCAATTACCCGACCTGGACCCGCCCTGCCACGGGGCGGGTCTGGGTACCAAGAAACCCGCCCCGAACCTGCCCCATTGCCATTCCTAATCTTACCCCATCCCTCACACACTCAAATATATTAAAAAAAATCTTTTATCATTTGGTCAAAGATATTGTATGTATAACAAAGGGGAAGATTACTTTGTTTAGCCGAATCGAACCAAAAATAAAACCGAGTAAAATAATTTCCTTGAAAATGAACCGTTAAGAGGTTTAAACGGTTCAATTTGATTTCAATAAAATGAAACCCGAGGTTTAACCGGTTCAATTTCATTTCAAGAAAATAAAACCCGAGGCTTAATTGAATATTGAGTGTTTGTGTATTGGTTGGTATTTTATTTTTATTGTTTTCAGTTCTGACCAAACAAAAAACGCTAAGCACAAAAAGTTTGGGACCGAAACCAAAAAACGATAAGAACACCTTAACTCTTCGTTTAATTGAAATTCAAGAAATTGAATCCGAACTGATAGTCCTATGTATAGCACACTTTGCCATCTTTCATTTTGTTCTTCTGATTATCCAAAATCTTAATTAATTGATTTTTTCATTGTTGCTATGAGGGAAGTAAACATTGATAATGAATTCATTTTCTTTTTATTACAAATTAAGTCACGTGTCAACTACTCTCAGGAAAACTCTTTGTGTGTTTGGGTTAAGTCGTTGAAAATCACGAATAGGATACCACAGACAGAGGATATATTCAAGTTCTTTAGGTTTGATGAAAATGTAGTAACGAATTAACTAAACTTTAGTGAGGATGAAAGGGTTTGTCATCTTACCCCATCCCTCACATACACCCAAATATATTAAAAGAAAAAGTCTTTATTATTTGATCAAAGTTGTTATATGTATGACTAGGATGGGAGATTGATTTGTGTAACTAAATCGAATAGAAAATAAATAACGAAAAAATTTGAACAAGTAATATCCTTAAAAATGAACTATTAAGAGGCTTAAACGGTTCAATTTGATTTCAAAAAAATGAAACCTGAATGAATTTAATAATGAGGAAAATTCATATGCTAATATGCGAATCGAAAATAAAAAACGAAAAAATTTGAACAAGTAATATCCTTAAAAATGAACTATTAAGAGGCTTAAACGGTTCACTTTGATTTTAGTGAGAATGAAAGCTAGGTACACTTTTTTGCCAAAGTAACTATTTTAATTTTTGTCTTTTAGTGAGAATGAAAGAACTTGCCATCTTACCCCATCCCTCACACACTCAAATATATTAAAAAAAATCTTTTATCATTTGGTCAAAGATATTGTATGTATAACAAAGGGGAAGATTACTTTGTTTAGCCGAATCGAACCAAAAATAAAACCGAGTAAAATAATTTCCTTGAAAATGAACCGTTAAGAGGTTTAAACGGTTCAATTTGATTTCAATAAAATGAAACCCGAGGCTTAACCGGTTCAATTTCATTTCAAGAAAATAAAACCCGAGGCTTAATTGAATATTGAGTGTTTGTGTATTGGTTGGTATTTTATTTTTATTGTTTTCAGTTTTGACCAAACAAAAAACGCTAAGCACAAAAAGTTTGGGACCGAAACCAAAAAACGATAAGAACACCTTAACTCTTCGTTTAGTTGAAATTCAAGAAATTGAATCCGAACTGATAGTCCTATGTATAGCACACTTTGCCATCTTTCATTTTGTTCTTCAGATTATCCAAAATCTTAATTAATTGATTTTTTCATTGTTGCTATGAGGGAAGTAAACATTGATAATGAATTCATTTTCTTTTTATTACAAATTAAGTCACGTGTCAACTACTCTCAGGAAAACTCTTTGTGTGGTTGGGTTAAGCCATTGAAAATCACGAATAGGATACCACAGACAGAGGATATATTCAAGTTCTTTAGGTTTGATGAAAATGTAGTAACGAATTAACTAAACTTTAGTGAGGATGAAAGGGTTTGTCATCTTACCCCATCCCTCACATACACCCAAATATATTAAAAGAAAAAGTCTTTATTATTTGATCAAAGCTGTTATATGTATGACTAGGATGGGAGATTGATTTGTGTAACTAAATCGAATCGAAAATAAATAACGAAAAAATTTGAACAAGTAATATCCTTAAAAATGAACTATTAAGAGGCTTAAACGGTTCAATTTGATTTCAAAAAAATGAAACCTGAATGAATTTAATAATGAGGAAAATTCATATGCTAATATGCGAATCGAAAATAAAAAACGGAAAAATTTGAACAAGTAATATCCTTAAAAATGAACTATTAAGAGGCTTAAACGGTTCAATTTGATTTCAAGAAAATGAAACCTGAATGAATTTAATAATGAGGAAAATTCATATGCTAATATATGTTGCTCACTGTGCACATCTTACTTTCTTTTTCCAATTTACAACGTGGTCTTATTGGTGGTTGTTGGTCATGAAACTTAGTGCTTTATATTGCTTTGGATTTGATCAATTTGTTCCTATGTTCAATTGTTAAATTTTGCTACATATATAACTGATTGCTACAATTCTATCATTTTGCTGCCATTTTTACTTGATCGGATTTATGTATCCAACGAGTTAACTGGTTGAAAGAACTTGGATCCAACAAATTATATTATGAATGTTCTTTATTTTTTCTTAATAAATTGGACTTGCTAGAGACAACGATTAGTGGTGCCTTAAGTTGTATGGACAATGAGATTTTTTTTAGTGAATTAGAGGTGAGGTGTTGTACATGTTAGGCTTATGAATAATAATCATATGTATGCGTTCACTTTTAGTGTTGAATTCGCTTATCATATGGATATGCAATCGCTCTATGTAGTAGTTAATTCATTGTATGTTTCATGATCCAAGTCAAAGTTGTGCTCGATCGATAACCTTCTAACTCTCTTCCTCACTCACAACAAGTTGAATGTTATCATTCATTGATTTTTTTTTTTTTTGAAATTTTACCTTTTTCTCCAAGAGTTTTTATTATATGAGTCCTGATGGTTAGGCGTAGCTTTCCTATTTATGCATTGTTCACTCAATATATGTTCATTCCCCCTTTTTATCAATTTTTAATTTGTTTTATGTTGTTTGACATCTATTGTGTACTTCATTGTTTTTCTTTCCTTTCATTAGTTTTAAGGAAAGGAGACCAATAAAATGAACTATGATTAGGGGTGAGTTAGTTTTGAACCCTCTCAACCATGCAACTCATATGCCTCAGGTCAAGTGATGCACTACCCAAATCGAATTATATGACACATAAATCCATGTGTTTAAGGTGATGCGCGGGTCGAATTGGATTGATACTAGACATGTCTATACATTAACTAAATAGGGCTGAACCTCGGTTCATTTTATGTTAATCAAACCGAATTGGTTGGTTATCCAAAATCGAATTGCTGTCATTTTAGAAATTGTAATTGATGTTGTTGCGGTTACTTGAGAATCGGATATTATGATTTTTTGTTATGTTGCAGTTAACTGCGTTCAACCAATTAACCTATTTGTCATTCTTTTTGGTTTAGGTTACCTAATGGGGTAGGCCATTTGGCTTTGGGGTAGTTTAATTTTGCGATTACTTGGGGATTTTGTTTTGCAGTTTGGTGTGCAGTTACACCAAACACCAAAGGTTATCTAAAACCAAATCTGCAACTATTCTATTTCTTCATTTTATTATTCTCGATTAACTATTAATCGTAAAATTCGAATAAGACTTCGGTTAGCTTGCATGACCATA